AACCGTGAAATCATACGGGATGTTTATCGTTCTTTCAACAGTCTTTGTACTCTGCAACATCAGATTATTTTTGAACAACGTTACTTCATCCAATAAAGATTTTTTTTAAATGCCTTACTTTTCTGTGGACAAAATGTGTATAAACTTTCAATCGACACTTTATTTCTATTTAGCAAATAGTATAATAGATTGTATAGGTTTTTGACGGAATAGGGACACTAGCGATGGGTTAAACTATGTATCGAACATTACGTATAATAGTATACCTAGATAAAAGTAAGCCTCTAATCAGTAAAAAGAAAACCTCTACTTTTTTAGATCTAGCTAAAGCGCTTGACACTGTAGATCGCAAGATACTATTAAGAAAGTGCATGGAAGCATTATTCTTAAATGGCGCAGTCGGTAGAATTGCCAAAAAGGATACAATCGCGTAGCAGTTTTTCGATCCATCGATTAATTGGCAATCAGAATAAGTTCAACAAGTGCTGGCGAATTCGGGACTTGAATGATAGAAGTGGTAGCTCAATTACCACATTCTGCAAGTGCAACAGCTTGGAGTGGACCAACATTGCCGCCGAAAATCATGTCGACCTTATAGCTAAGAGAATGGCAAGATTCATGCTGATGACTATGTAAGTGCAATTTATCAATGTCTGTTAATGATTTATTAAACTTACTAGATAATTTCAATCTAAGTGATCATTAAATAAGCTCTGACTCCGCTTCTAGCTCATAATAGAAGCTCAAACAGAAGTGTCAAATTCTGAAAATTTAGATATTAAATTAGATATCAATACTTCTACGTTAAAACGGAATCTAGCAGGAATTCTAAAAACTGGTAGTTCATATTTTAGTACATTAGATACTAACGAAACTATTGACATAAATACTGAGATTCATAATAACATAACGGCACAATTTAAGCCTGAATATTTAAGTTGTGTCCCTCAATTTTATTGAAACCCTAGCGAACTGACTAGGTCGTTAGCTACTTGTAAATCTATCATTGACAATTTTTATAATGCTAGAGATGTAAGTTGAATCAAAGATACTTACCTATTGAACAGTTTAATCGAAAAATTAACAGGAAATGCACAAAACGGCAAAGGCATGTTGCAAATGTACAAAACGTCTCCACC